CTCCCACAGCTTTGGCTGCTCCTGCAGGTCCCTCAGGGGGACTCACTCCATCCTCTCAAGCCACCAGCCTGGGGAGGTGGCAGTGATGGGCCCGACCCCAGCCTGGGCACACACAGATGCCAACCTGCCCCAGGTGCTGCAGGGCTGGCAGGAGCCTGGCTGGGAGCTCTTTCATGCTCCCAAAAAAGCGTTATTTACACAACTGTGGGTGCACACACACACACACACACACACACACACACACACACGGGCTCTCCCCCCTCAAATAGTGCAATTTCCTCCCTGATAAAGAGCTCCCACCACAGCCCCCCTTTCCCTCTCCCCCCAAACTCGTGCCCCCGGCTCGGAGCCCACCTTGGGCTCTGATTTTATCTCACTTCCTCGATATGAATATTGGCTGTGCTGCTGATGAGCGATAAAGGACGGGCCCCAAACACCCTCTCTGGGGAGGAGGCAGCGCTGCAGAGGCTCTGCCGGGCCCCAGCTGACATCAAAGCCCCTCTGAGGGCGGATGCTGGTCCCTGTAGCCCCAGATCCCAGCCCACCTCCCCCAAAACAGGCTCCCCTTGGCCCTCCTGGCCCCCCAACACCCTCAGAGCAGCCCAGGGATGGGGTCTGTGCTCTGTGGGGTAACAAAGGGCAGCTCTGCAGGTGCCACAAACCAGGCTGGGTGTCCCTGGTGGGGGGACTTTGGTGTCTGGGACAAAATTCCCCTCTATTTTATAGTGTCTTAATGCACAAAATCCAACCAAGGTTGGGCAACCCTGTGAGATCCCTCACCAGGCTACTGCCAGCTCAGTTTACAAGGTGAAAACCACCTGAATAATCTCCTTAACTCTTAACCCACCCAACAGGGAGCACAGGGAAGGAGAGAAACATCCCTGGAAAACTCGGGTTTGTTCAGAGAGCAGCTTGTCTGGCAGCAGGAGAGCCAGAGACTGTTCCACTCAGCTGAGGACATCAAACCACTCCATCAGCCATCACCCCCCCGGGGCCTATTAGACATTGCTCCTATTCTGCAGACAAGAGGCTGGGGAACAGCAGATAAGGCAAAATCGGGGAAAAGCAGCAGCCAGAAGCAGGGCTGGGCCAGGAAAGCTCTGTCTGATTTTGGAGCTCTGGCCCTTGTGGCAAGAAACCCTCCTGCAAACCTGGTACCTGAGCTCAAACACGTGGAAGAGATGCTAAACTCATCCAGTGCCACCCCTTGCCGTGGGCAGGGACACCTTCCACTAGCCCAGGTTGCTCCAAGCCTTGTCCAACCTGGCCTTGGACACTTCCAGGGATCCAGGGGCAGCCACAGCTTCTCTGGGCACCCTGTGCCAGGGCCTGCCCACCCTCCCAGGGAGGAATTTCTTCCCAATATCCCATCTAACCTTTCCCTCTTTCAGTTTGAACAATTCCCCCTTGTCCTGTCATCTTCCAGGCAAAACCTGGACTAGGGCCTGGGCCTCCTGGGTTTGTTAAATACTCCCAGGTGAGTAAAATAAACTGCCCAAGCCTGAATCTGTCTCGTGGGTTCATTTTACCACATCTACCCCCCAAATCCCGCAGTGGACGTCAGCCTGCCCCTCCACAAACACACTGGGATGGTGGGAGAAGCCCTGAAAGCATTCCCCACCGTGACACTGCTGGGTGGGAACACGGCCCCAAAGGCAAGTGCTGGGAAAATTGGGCACAGGAGGGATAAAAACCTCCTGGAACGGGGTCGGGGTCGTCTTTTGGGCGACGGAGTTTGCGACGACACCTTGGGCTGATCCAGGGGGATCAGGGCACGCCCCTGAGGGACAGCCCAGGGTACCACCGGAGAGGGAAGCAGGAGATGGAGCAGCTCCAGTGACACCAGTGGCGCTGGGAGCGGGAAGGGGCCGCGGGCACTGGGAGGAGGCGGCGCGGGGGGCGGGCGGAGCTGCTGCTCATGTGGCAGAGTGTCCCCGCTGAGGGCAGGCACAACGCCCATGACTCATTTTTCCAAGAGATGTTACAAACAATGGGAATGATGCCCCTGGTGGGTCTGAATGTGAGGAGGCCCGGCGGGGGGGCTGCCATGCTGGGCACCTTGTGTGTGGGCTGCCAGCGCAGGGCACAGCTCAAAACCTGCTGCAGCCAGTTCGGGGGGTTTGCTTCCAGGAGATTCTGCAGGGATCTGGGGAGGGAGGTGGGATTTCTGCAAGGATTTTTGGGGGAAGGAAAGGGCAAAATGGCTGCTCAGCAAACTCCTCTCTTGCCCTGGCATCCCATGTGCTCGTGGTGGGCACCGACCCCGAGGCAAAGAGAGGAGCAGCTTCACTGCCCACGGAGGGAAACGGCAAAGAACAATCCTGAAGAGTTCCATCCCCATGTGGGACTGGAACAACAAGGGGCAGGGAATTTGGGAAAGCACTGCAGGGCTTTCAGGCTGCTCCCCCCTCAACACATGTTCTCCATACTCAGATGGTGCCCCCAGGGCACAGTTTCTAAGCCCCTTGGAGTCCTTGACCTTCCACTGTTGTCTGCTCCATACTATTATTTTTAGGCACACAATCCCTAAAACATCCCAGCGCTGGAAATACATTCCCAGATAACGTGCAGTGAAGCACAGGGAGGGGGAGGCTGCAGGAGAAGGGAATTCTGTGGGATTAAAGGTGGTGGCAAAGGGGATTTTCCCTTCCCAAACCCCACACAGCCTCACATCCCACCTCCCTGTGTACTTGTTTTTACACTCAGAGCGTTACAGGCCTGAAAATCTGGGAATTGCTGAAGGCATCCCAAGCTCAGCACAAATCCATGGCCTGCCCAGGATGGATCCTGCTGCTTCCCACACAGCCTGAGCAGGACTCCAGTGACACCTTGGGAGAGCACCAACTGCAGGCAGGTCAGACATTGGGGTTCAAACTCATAAAACCATCCCATAAATCCCGGAATCCCACCAAAGAACCACAAAGTGATCCCGTCTGGAAAGGCAGGACCCCTCTGCCTCCTCCCCGGGGGCTCTTTCACAAGCACGGAGAGCTCGGCCCCCAAAAGGACTGGGCTGGGCCAGGCCAAGCAATTCCCAAGTGCAAGAGGGAAGAAAAGCAGCCTTTTCCCAGAACCCCAGTGCCACAGGCAGAGGAAAGGGACAAATATTTACTCAAAGCACCTTCCAGGGCTAAGAGAGAAAAAAATCAAACACTGCAGAGCCCCACCTGGTGTGAGTGGGCTCTCACCTGCCTGGCACAGCCAGGGAGCAGCCCAGGAGCTCTGTCTTACCCCCCCTCTGGGCATCAGGAGTGCAGAAGCAGGTCTCAGTCTCTCAGTTTTTAAGAGAAAGGAGCTCTGTTTCTGTAAAACAGACATTTGGGTAGGGTGAGGTGGTGTCCAAAAGCACCCCCAGTGGATTTGGGGTTGTGACAGGTATCCAGGTGCTGGGAGAGGTAAGAAACTCCCCCTGGCAAGTCCCACCATAGGAATTTTGATTCCTAGAGAAGTGTGAATGCTCCAGGGTGGGATCTGTGCCACAACACGAAGTCCCAGTGCAATATCCAGCACTCTGGGCACTCCTGATCATCCACCTCAAGGCA